TTATTTTTATTGTAAAGTCAGATATACAGATAGGAAAAGAGAGAGAAAGATCCTCCATCTGCTGATTCACTCCCCATGAGACCGCAACAGCCAGAGCTGAAGCCAGTGGCCTCTTCCAGGTCTCCCACATTGGTTGCAGGGTCCCAAGGTTTTGGGCTGTTCTCAACTGCTTTCCCAGACTACAAGCAGGGAGCTGGATGGGAAGCAGGGCTGCTGGAATTAGAACCGGTGCCTATATGGGATCCCAGGTTGTTCAAGGCGAGGACTAGGCTATCGTGCCAGGTCCTTAAGAATTAAGAATCCATTCCAATTTGATATCCTCTTGTTATTTGTTTCCATATAAAATTGTTTTCCAACAAGGATTGAGAAAAATGGATGCTGCAAGCGCCTTCCTCGGTCCCTCACAGACAGGTGACCATGGATGTACAAGGGGGCAAGCTTGGAGAACTGGGGGCGGCAGCCCTTGGTTAGAGGCTTCTGAGGGAGCTAAGAGAAAGCATAAACGTGTGGCTGATGCTCTGCTCTTCCCCAGCTCATCTCAGCAGCATCCTTGCCTAACAATATTTCATTTTTTAGAAAACATTAACACCCAAGGCAGACAATTAACACCCAAGAAAATAAGTTCCCATGCCAGCTTCTGACTTCACACACCCAAAAGACAACTTCCTAAGCTGGAGTAGCTCCAGCTGTCACCTGACACACACTGTTTAATCCAATGGAAGGTTGTTAAAAACTGCAGCCAACTTAATGTCTCAGGTCTGAACCTAAGTATTCAAAAAGTCTAAATACCCAATCCCAAAGAAATCAGCACTGAATGTATGCTGCATCTAAGGATGTGGTCAGGAAGAAAGATGCCAGGAGGAAAACACATCCTCCAGTGCTCTCAAATGCCGTTTCTGAGAGGAATTACCAGGCAATAAAGGTGTCCTCATGGTCACCACCACTTCATGAGGGACACCTATGGCCTTGGTACATTTCTAGCTTCTTGACCCTTCAACTCGACCCATACCCTGTCTCCATTTATAATAATCAGACTCTGGAAGAACTGATTTGTTAAATTCATTCTGGCTGCTTGTTGTAAACCATCTCTCCTGTGCAACTTGGAGATCAGATTTGTTTTCTTTCTTTTTCTTTCTTTCTTTCTTTCTTTAACTGATTAGGACAACTTTGGTTTCTATGAGACTAATTTTTAAAATTTATTTAGATTTATTTGAATGAGTGTGGCAGAGAGAGAGGTTGGGGAAGAAGAGAGAAAGACAGAAGAGAGATTTTTCATCTATCTGCTGGTTCACACCTCCAAATGACCACAAAGGCTGAGAGGAGCCAGGCATAAGCCACAAAGCCGTGAAACCAAGCCAGGTGTCAGAACTACTTCTGGGTCTCCCACAAGAGTGCAGGGGCCCAAGCCCTTGGCCCAGCTTCTACTGCTTCTCTAAGTGCATTAGCAGGGAGCTGGATCCAACGCGGAGCAGCTAGGACTCAGTGCAGGGCCCACAGAGGATGCCATTTTGCAGGCAGAAGCTTCATCCACTGCACCACAGTGCTTGCCCCTGGATTGCATCCTTAAACAAACATATATAGAAGAATTCTGCCCATAAAATAATTTCTCCCTAATGTTTTACCCCCCCCCCCCAAAATCAAAGTTTGAACCACAGATAGACTTCTAAATTTGGGCAATACACCTCAATTCCAAATCGGAAAATAAAAACCCACAATGAACGGTTAGCATTTTCTTCTTGGTCATCAGATCTGAAAGTTCCTCCTGGCACCGACACAAAGAAGCAGTGATTCTATCAGTAGCCTAACAGATGGCAGGCATAGAATGGCTCTAACCTTCTCCAAGGATGCTGGAGAAAAGCTCTGTGGAGTTTAACAGGATGCTGGCTGCTATTTTCTCTCTGCTGCCTGTCCATAGCATGCTTGTCCATAATTCCAAGAGCTACTTTTAAGGTCCAGCCATGCCATTAGTCAGGTTAATCTTTCAAGACAAGCAAGTGTCTGGGGTTACTATGGGATCCTGGTTCTATGTGGGATTCTGTTCCAACAAATGCAACTTAAAGTTGATAAATACAGGCTACACACAAGGGAGTATTTTTAGCACTCCTTTTCTTCTATTAATATTTACGAGACAATACACATTGTTTTCATGCATAGTAAATTAGACTTCTCCAATGAACTAGAAAGAAGAGGTATCTTATTGCAAACATTCTCTTCTAACAGTTACCACTGATGGGAGAACACTGCAATAGGACTTTTAAAAAGTTTGTAGAAAGTGTTACCAAAAAACAAAAACAAAAACAAAACTATGACTAGATTTCAAATTTCAAAATTACTTGCACAAAAATAAACTTTTTGTAAAAAGAAATGTTGATTTTGGGGCCCGGTGCAATGGCGCAGTGGTTAAGGTCCTCACCTTGCACGCCCGCCGGGATCCCATATGGGTGCCGGTTCTAATCCTGCAGCTCCACTCCCCTTCCAGCTCCCTGCCTGTGGCCCGGGAAAGCAGTCGAGGACGGCCCAAGGCTTTGGGACCCTGCACCTGCATGGGAGACCCGGAAGAGGCTCCTGGCTTCAAATTGGCTCAGCTCCAGCCGTTGCGGCCACCTGGGGAGTGAATCATGGGACAGAAGATCTTCCTCTCTGTCTCTCCTCTGTGTATATCTGCCTTTCCAGTAAAAATAAAATAAATCTTTAAAAAAAAAGATGTGCTGATTTTATTGTAAAGTCAAAGAGAGAGAGATCTTCTGTTCACTTGTTCCTTCCTCAAGTGGCCATAATGGCTAGAACAGAGCAGATTTGAAATCAGGGGCCAGGAGCTTCTTCCAGGTCTCCCATGCAGGTGCAGGATAGCAAGGCTTTGGGCTGTCCTCTATTCATCTATTCCCAGATCACAAGCAGGAAGCTGTATGGGAAGTGAAGCAGCTGGGACATGAACTGATGCACACATGGGTCCCGGGACATATAGGGCAAGGACTTTAGCCATTGGGTTATCATGTCAGGCCCTCAAACTTTTTTTTTAAAGATTTATTTACTTATTGGAAAGTCAGATATACAGAGAGCAAGAGAGACAGAGAGGAAGATCTTCCATCCGGTGATTGTGTATCCAGGTCTCCCACATGGGTGCAGGGTCCCAAGGCTTTGGGCCGTCCTCGACTGCTTTCCCAGGCCACAGGCAGGGAGCTGGATGGGAAGTGGAGCTGCTGGGATTAGAACTGGCACCCACATGGGATCCCAGCACGTTCAAGGTGAGGACTTAAGCAGTTAGGCCACGCCGCTGGGCCCGGAAATTAACTTTTAAAATCACATTTGTTGCACCAAATTTTTTATGTCTCCTCATACTTTCAACGTTGGAAAGAATCACTAGTTTTGCCCCAAGATCACCAGCAAGGTTTTGGCCTTTTTTATTCAGGGTTGCAGCCTGGACCTATAAACCAGAGACTCTCCAGAGGTAGAAACCAAGCATCAACATTTTTGAAAACTCCCCAGAGGGTTCCATGGGCAGAAGAGGAATGGAACACTGCATTTTAAATTGTAAACATTTTAAAATTTCTTTAAGTTGACTTTACGACTTGGTAAATTAATTTCAACACTGGATCCTTCTGCCTTGGGTTTATCACTCTTAGGATTCTCCCTCTGCACCTGTCCCTCCAAAGCTAACGTTAAGGTTATAGCATCTGCAAAATTGACCAACAACAGTTTGCAAGACATTCCCTCCCTCCAGGAACATCACGGAAATGTTGTGCTCAGCTCCAGCCATTGCGGACACTTGGGGAGTGAATCATCAGATGGAAGATCTTCCTCTCTCTCTTCCTCTGTATATCCGCCTTTCCAATAAAAATAAATAAATCTTTAAAAAAAAAAATCAGCCACCTAGCTACTTTCATCTGGAGGTGGGCAGCATTGTCCCTTTTCTGGCCAGGAGCATGTTCCCTGGAGGTCTGTCCAGTGGCCCCAGTTGTGCCTCATTCATTAGACCAGCTGCTGATGCACAGGCCATCTGACCTTTAAAAAACCAAAGCAAACATTTGGCCTCTTGTTCCTCGATCTACCACAGAGATCTTCTCCTACATGAGATAGGACAAAGATAATGTCAATAAATTCTAGAACAGTGTCCCCATCCTTAGAGTGGCCTGGGGGTTTTAGAAAATACTCACGCTGGGGTTCCACAAACAGGGATTCCAATTTCTTGGCCCAGGGCACAAACTGCACATGAGGATTACCAAAAGATCCACAAGTAATCCTAACAGTTTTGATCTAAGAACTATAGCTTCCAGAGGATGCAAGTTGCTGAGGATCAAGAGCCAAGTTCATTCCAGCATCAATCTTCACATACAAACCTCTTTCAACTCCATGATAATTCACATTACTTCTTCTCTTTGCAAAATGGCTATTACTTCAAAAGCCTACCAAACGCCTTTCACAAACTAGACAAGGTGAAAATTGTACTCTGGTTTCTACTATCCATGTCCCCCTCCATTGGAATTTAAGAATAAAACACCAAGGAAACGAAGGGAGATTATCCTAAGACAAAATCCAATCACAGCACCAACAGCTCCAACACAGCAGGAGGAGGCTCACGGGGCAGGCTAATAGGAAAAAGTACAATTGCTGTGAGAGTCATCAATGCACTAAGTGGAAACTTTTTCAAATATTAAAATAAAAATTTCCTCAAGACTTTCCAGTAATACTTCAATGTTTACCTTAGGAAGATGAATTCTAAACTATTACCTCTTCAAACCTTATGTTACAGAGTGTACATCTGGACTACTGATCACAGGAAATATAAACCGACAACATGTGATTTTTCACTGTAATACTGCTTTACAATATAGTTGAGACATAGTTTTTCAAAACTGCACATTGGACTTCCATCCATCAGGTTTTATATCAGGCACCTAATTATTTTTTTCTTCAAATTTTTTTATTGTTATTATTTTTCATGATACAGTAATGAGGGTAGAGGGATCCCCCTGCCCTCTCCCCCGCCCCCCACTCTTCCCTTGTCTCCCTCCCACCATTTTTCCCCATATTATTACAGTCAGCACCTGGGGACAGAGACGATCATTTGATATTAGCTTGGAGACCCTGTGATGGGAAAGAAGAATGTTCCAAGGGTTTTATTTGACTGATCTTGATAGTTCTGAAATAGCATCAGCTACATTGCACCAGGGTTGAAAAAATCGTTCCAAGGTCTACTGAATGAACAGGTCTACTTTGGTGTATCCTCAGACCCAGACGCTAAGTGCAAGGTCTGGTCAGGAGAGCTGTCCATCCTATTCTCTTTGCATCTTTGGATGAGGTACTCAGTGTTCTCTGCTGACTTACATGAGCTGGGTGTCATGTATTTCATGTACATCTGGGTATGCTTTCCACTGCACGGGCATCAGCAACTGAAGAGGCCCAGCCCTGATTCCTCTACTCCAATGTTGGATTATTCATCTTGTGATTGTTCCTGAGGCTAGTATCTGAGTCCAGTGGTCTAGATGGGGAATCCCCCACCAAATTTCACCTGGGGAGTCCTTAGACTTGATTCATGTGCAACAGCTAGTGCAGGGTCAGGTTTGGTCCATCACCCACACCAGCCAATACCATACCAGGCATTTCAGATATGTAATCTCAAATCAGTCCAACAAACTGACAAAGTTAATTCCATCATGCTAGAAAACTTTTTCAGAAAGGTTTAAAAAACCGTGTATGTGATCACAGAGCTAGTAGGTGGCTGCACTAGGATTCAAAATGAGGTCTTTCTGTCTCCCAAATCTGTGTTCATACCAAAATGCTTCATTTCACCATCACAGCTCACTGGCAGAAAGACTTGGGCCCAAGTAGCTGCATACACCATTAAGAGTCAGAGTTGTTAATAAGTGGGTTCCATGTCACAGAACAACCCAGTGGGAGCCAAGAGTGGACTCCACCATCACACTCTGTCGCATGCTCCTTCAGGAGACCCAATCACAGTTCACGTGGTATAGTTGCATAGTGTTTATGGACATAATACAAATTTTTCTGATTTCTGAGAATCTTAAAGCTTTCTATAAATATGGCTTAGCTTCAGTACAGGTCTGAGCCATGGCTAATTGATTCCAGGACACGAAGGGATCAGCATCAGGTTCAGTTCCTTTGTATGTTCCAGAATCCTTACGGACAGCAATACAGTTAACATAAGGGCACAGACGCCCTCCACAGGACCTGATTATCTTGTTCCAGGACACCCATTCAGGGCCATGAGACAATCAGCAGAACATCCCGAGGTGTGGCACACATTATCTTCCAGGGATCTTTCCCTTTATTTGTTGAATGACAATGAGATTGTCATAAAAATCCAACGAGGAGTCCAGCTGCATCAATTCAGCTATCAGAAGCAGGCTCCTAGAGGAGTTTGTCTTTACATCCTGGCAGGAAGGTGTCTTCTTCTTTGAGCTGCCGACACTGCACCCCCACACCTGGGTTCCAGAAGCTGGGACTATGGTATACTGTGACCAACACATGATTCTTGAAAAACAGCAGACACGCATATGGTGCCCCTATAAAAGAAAGCAAACAGGCCTTAGCACCTAAGGAACACAACACCTCCACAGACTTGCTCTCTTCCAAAGCATCTCCTTCCGTCAGCAGAGACAATTCTTGAAGAAACTGCACCGGTACTTCCTAGCAATCTTCAAGCAAAGCAAGTGTATCGTTTTGCAGGATTCAAGCACTCGGAGAAGTCAGTGCAGAGAGGAGTTAAGGTATAGCTAGAACAGAAGTCTTAATCATTCCGATGTGACAGAGTTGCGCTTTGTGATCAAGCCAAACCAAGCCTGGTCTCTCAACTGCTGGCGGCAAGAACAAAACAGATGTCAGAGCCACTTCTTTTATTCAGAAATGACAGGAAATCAAAAATCCATCAAATGGGGCCCGGCGCGGTGGCGCAAGTGGTTAAAGGTCCTCACCTTGCCGCCCGGGATCCCATATGGGCGCCGGTTCTAATCCCGGCAGCCCCGCTTCCCTTCCAGCTCCCTGCCTGTGGCCTGGGAAAGCAGCAGAGGACGGCCCAAAGCTTTGGGAACCTGCACCCGCGTGGGAGACCCGGAAGAGGCTCCTGGCTTCGGATCGGCATAGTATCGGCCCGTTGCGCTCACTTGGGGAGTGAATCATCGGACGGAAGATCTTCCTCTCTGTCTCTCCTCTCTGTATATCTGCCTTTCCAATGAAAAAATAATAAAAATAAATCTAAAAAAAAAAAAAAAAATCCATCAAATGGATGTGTCAGCTGCAACCCCACGAGCATATTGGTTAGTGAGATTTATGCGCCTCCGTTTTGGCATATGACAAAATCACCGTCTACATTTCTAGTTTTCAGATACCAACTTGGACATACAGGTTCCAGAGCTCCACAAAGTCCCACTGTGGTCTACGTGAATTTTAAATATGGATATTTAAAATGTTTGAAAATATTAAATAATGTCTCAGTTTGCAGACTGGTCCAAATCCCAGAATGGCTTTTAAGACTTAAAAACTGGGTAGAAATTGAGGGCTGTGGAATCCCAGACTACACAGAATTGTACCATATACTTCAAAAATTAAAATAAAAATTTTATAAAGTTAAAAAACACTGTAACATGAAAATTTTAAGAAATTAAGTTAAAAAACAAAACAAAAAAAAATTTTAAATGTAAACCTGCCAAGTGTAGTATAAAATTATAACCCATTCTTTTTTCAAAACTATTTATTTTATTTTTATTGGAAAGTCAGATATACAGAGAACAGCACAGATGGAGAGAAACATCTTCCATCCAATGATTCATTCCCCAATTGGCACAATGGCCAGAGTTGTACCAATCTGAAGCCACAAACCAGTAGCCTCTTCTGGGTCTCCCACGAGGATGCAGGGTACCAGGACTTGGGCCATCCTATGCAACTCTCCAGACCATAAACCAGAGCTAGATGAGAAGTGGAGTAGCCACGACATAAACTGGCACCCACTTGGGATACCAATGCTTAAAGGTAGAAGGTCAGCCAATTGAGTCATTGTGCCGGCACTGGTCTTTAATTTACGATCACTTATGTGGGAAGAGTATATTTTAGGGGACTTGAAAAAGTTCATTGAAAAACAAAATTAAGACATAAATGTGTTGGCGTGAAAAATAAAAATTGTGAATAACATACACTTTCTATGAATTTTCTGAAGTTCCTTGATATAGACACCCTACTGCATACTTGCTCCTCTGAGAATTCTGGACTTGAATTTTGATGATTTGAATTAACAAATCCTTAATGAATTTTATTGCATTGAATTAAATGTAACAGTCCCACACCAAACTCCTGGTGGTATCCAACATTCAACCACTTCACTTAAGAGAATGTGGTGTGTGTTTGTTTGTTTACAAATAATACAAAGGCTTTTTCCTCAATCACAGTAAGAAAAGAAAAGTGCAAGAAAATGGGTCTCTTAAGATGACAGGAAACACTGCAAACATTTTAATTTCTAATCTTTGTTAGCAATGCTTGAAATCCAACCTGAATTAAAATACAAGCTGCTCTGAGCTTGACCATCTCTCTTGTGGTTGTGTTTGTCTGGAGTGAAGCCTGTCAACCTCAAGCAACCAGAAACAGGCAAACAAAAACAGGCTCACCCTGTGAAAGCATGGAAAAGCTAGTCAGAGAAGATCATTCTTCCCATTAAAGCTCGCTGACTACATGACAACAATATCAAATCCCACCTAATAGCTTTCTCAGTGCTCTGGCATTTTATCTGTCTCCATCCAGATGTGAAATTATTCAATGCATTCCTTCTCAAAGTGTGGTCCCCAACCAGCCTCATCATCACCTGGGAATTCCTGCAAAACAAATGCTCTTACTGCCCCCCACCCCAGGTCTGCAGAATCAAATTTACATGTCCCCAAGGTTTCATAACCACTACTGTACCATTTGTATATCAGTATAATAAGTATATACTTGTACAACCCTTGTGAGTGGAGGACCCTCGGGCCTTTATTTAAGAGCTAACTTCAGAAGAAGCCCCTGGGGTAACATGCATAGGCAAAAGAGGCCCTTTGTGAGGCTCATAAATACACCAGAATGAAAAACCTGGAGATGTAGCCAAGTTCTTCTCTACAATTTTCTAAGGAGAAGGATGGATGTAGAGGTAACATATATTTAAATTCTGTTCCTACATTTTATAAGCACCTGCCATGTGTTCTGCGTATGCCAAATGAAACTATCTTATTTAGCCTTTTCAGTAATCAGGAAAACCACCATTATTATTAAGTACACAGACATTCAATGCTAATCAGAATGAAGTCCAGAGGCAGGCTTTTGGCTCAAGGGTTAATCTAACACATGACTTGCAGCACTTGCTCTCATATTGGGGTGCCTGTGTCTGAGTTCTGGTTCCACTTGCCATTAGCTTTCTATAGTGCACATTCTGAAAATCAGCAAGTGATGGCTCAGTACTTGAGTCCCTGCCAAGTACTGGGAGACGTGGACTGAGTTCTAGAGCCTGTCTTCAACCTAGCTTGGCCACAGTAAATATTTAGGGAGTGAATCGCTGGATAGAAAATCTCTCTGCCCCCTGCCTTTCAAATAGATAAATAACAACTTCAAACAGGACGCAGTACAAGCTGCAGACAAGCAGAAACACTTCACAATTCTCCAACTGTTTCTTCCTGGGCCTCACCAGCCTGCTCTGAACCCGAGAAACTTGTCTATGAAGGTTCCTTTGCTTCTCAAATGGTTAACTGATCTCAAGCTGTATTACAGAATACTAGGATACTTACAAAAAACAACGTGCCTTGTAATTTCAAGCCAACACAAAAAAATTTGAGGTAATTGTAAATTATCCATGGCAGGAGAAAGGTAGGGAAGTTTCTGTGAAGACTATAAAAGACTATAACACCTACAGCAATGTTGGGTACACAGCCAGAGCCTATTGACTGTCCAGAAAGACTAATAAACAAATCAGATTTTTTAGTCCTGCTCCCAAACAAAATGTTATGAATGTTATGACCCATAAATATTCTCAGATACAAATCCATCATAATCATTTTGGGCATCCATTCTCCTGTCCTGTCCATTCCAAGCTTTTTTCCTTAAGCTAAACAACAAAAACTTAGCGGAAAGGAAGTGGAATCATTCTATCATCTCCATTGTGTATCAAGCTTATGCCTTTCTTATGCCCAGAACTATACATGGCTACATGTCCCTGCAGGAACACCAGCTTGCTTCCATCCTGGGCCATGGCCGATACTGCAAATTGCTCAACGCCCCCTTCTCAAAGCTTCAAAATCCTTCCCCGTATCATTTCAGACAGCCGCCTCCGATCAGTGGGAGTCTATGTGACAAATGTTTGTTTCATCAGCCAATCAATATGTCCCTTCCTTGTTTTCCTCCCTGCTCCAATTACAGCCATAAGTCCCTCCTTTTCTTGTTCGTAGAATAATACCATAGCCTGCTTAATCATAAGTCACAATCTTCACAAATTTATGCCACCTTGAGGATCCTAATCAAAGCAGATTGTGCTAAACACTTCTAATAATTTGAAAGCAGTTGTAACCCAGCACGGAGTACAAAAACATTCTAAAAATCAAAGAACCAAGTTTAAAAAGGTACTGAACAGATAACAAAATACCTGTGACACAGTATGCCATGAGCATAATGGCAATGTTCGGCACGAACAGCCCGGGGGGGCCGAAGCTTCGCAGCAGGCTAACACGCATGACAAGCAGGCATGAGTAAGTAGCTCTGATTCTGCCTGCAATACTCACCGACAATTCTTTATTCTGCTAAGGGGGCACCACACTGTTCCTTTAGCAGCATCTCCATTATTCTAATTCCCTAGAGAGAAAGAAAAAATAAATAAAAATTTGTTATTTCACAGACAAGCACCTGTGTATTTATCACAACCTCCTTCCTTCGTCATGGCCCTATCTTCATTTCAGCAAGGAGGGCTCACCATGACATACTGTTTTTATGTTTGACTTAGCAATTTCAGCTATATTATGTCCAGACCCTTAGAATTACTCGTGGAGGGGAGTCAGCAAAGGGTTTACACGTAAGAAAACAACCCAAAAGAAGTTTTGTAACTTCTTCAAGGTGGCCCAGCTGCTAAGTGACATTGTCAGAGCTGAACAGTGGCAGAAGTGAACAGTCACTGCGCACAGGACAGGGGCTGGATTTGCTGCTGAGGCTTCAGTGTGTTAGCCTGGAAGTGGGTGCAGTGTGCCTGACTGAAGGTCTCCTCCAGAACGGAGGTGTTTCTCCTCCCATCTACCAGACTACAGGCTGCCACTGACGCACAGCCATCTCGGCCAACAGTAGTTGCTTCCCTGAAGACAGGCATCCTCACCATGGAAAGCCTACATGAAGCAAGTGGTGGATGTCGAGTCATAAAAGGCTCAGATCTTTCCTTGAACGTGCAGTAGCTCCTGAAAGGCACGCACCTCCACAGCCCCCATAGGATCAGCACAGACTTCTGTTGCAACATCATACAATTCAATACTACTTTCTCCTAACCCTGCTTCTCTCCCAACAGCTGTCCTTCAGAGCCTCTTCCAGTCATGCCAGCATGCAAATCTCCACCTGTGAGGCTAGGCCCCACAGCCAACTCGGGACATGCTATTTAAGATGCATGGAGCCCCTCAACAAGTAATATTTTTGCACTCACTGTACAGAGGAGGAAATAACTCTAAGAGCTTCCAGTCATTCCCAAAGTTATACGGCTACTAAGGAACAAAGCCAAAGAAAAAGCCCACGTACACCACTCTGATTTCAGAGGTATTCCAGTACCTTCCAGAAGCACCCATTTCACAGCTTTTTGCTACCAACTCTGTCTGGTAACCTTATTCTGGCAGAAACGAGAAAGCAGTAATACCTTCAGCTCTTCAGGAACAAGTCATACATACCAAAGGATAACTCTGGACAGAAAGACAAGGTTATGGTGTAATTATGAAACAGAATCTTAAAGATGTCAAAGCTGGATGCAGAGCAAAGATATCCACGACTTGCAGAGAAGGCAAAGTACTTTGGAAGAATGAGAAATATGAAAGGAATATAACACACATGAATCCATTCCATCCCTAAAAGATTCTAACTGAACAGGTCCCTAAAAGGAAATATTCACATGACCCTCATTACCCGAGCATGACTGGGAAAGGCTGAGTGGCCAACAGAAGTCACAAAGTTCCTAACAGGAGTTTGTTATAGGCCAAGGGATGGATATGAAGCCAGGGAGGAGGGGATAATCAAAGGCAAAATTAGAAAACACATGAAACATATAGAACCCCGAAGCAGACTGAACAAAGCTAGGATTTCCTTAAGGATTTAAGTTGGCATTTCCAAACTCTGCAGGGCCATCACACCAAAAACATCAGTGTCTTTGAAGGAAAAAGCATGGCCTGGCATGGTAGCCTAACGGCTAAAGTCCTTGCCTTGCATGGGCCAGGATCCCATATGGGCACTGGTTCTAATCCTGGCAGACTCACTTCCCATCCAGCTCCCTGCCTGTGACCTTGGGACGGCCCAAAGCCTTGGGATCCTGCACCCATATGAGAGACCCAGAAGAGGCTCCGGGTTCCTGGCTTTGGATCAGCGCAGCTCTGGCCATTGCAGTCACTTGGGGAGTGAATCATTGGATGGAAGATGTTCCTCTCTGTGTCTCCTTCTCTCAGTATATCTGGCTTTCCAATAAAAATATAATAAATCTTAAAAAAAAAAAAAAGTAGGAGCATTCAAGGCCACTGAAGGAAGTCTTTAATTTTTTTTTTTTGAGGGTTTATTTCATTTTTGTTGGAAAGGCAGATTTACAGAGAGAAGGAGAGAGAAAGATCTTTCATTGCTGGTTCACTCCCCAAGTGGCTGCAATGGCCAGAGCTGTGCTGATCAAAAGCCAGGCGCCAGGAGCTTCTTCCGGGTCTCCCACAAGGGTGCAGGGTCCCAAGGCTTTCCCAGGCCACAAGCAGGGAGTTGAATGAGAAGTGGAGCAGCCTGGATACAAACCAGTGCCCATATGGGATCACAAGGCTTGCAAAGCGAGGATTTAACCACTGAGCCATTGTGCTACAGCTACCCAACTCCCCCACCTCCCCGACCACCCCGTACCCCATCCTTCATAGGGAATTCTAGGATCATGTAATGTTGGCAGAAGCAAAATAGCAGACCAAAGCTAGGAGTACAAATATCAGGGCCAGAAGATCTGGATCCCCGCCCAGCATGCACTCTGCTGGCTAATTAAGCAGACCACTTTTACCAAGGAGTTACCTAGACTGCAGAGGTCAGTGGCCTTTAAGGTCAGACTGCATTAGATCTCTGTACACACATCTGCATGCTAGGATTACTAGGGGAGTCCACCAAAGCAAATATATATTCCCAAATCTTGCCACTGACTCAATCACAAATTCCAGAGTGAAGCCAAGAATCTGTACCTGTGTGAGATTATGTGATTTTGAAGGTGATTTAGACATTTATTTATGTATTTATTTAAAAAGCAGAATTGCAGAGTGAGGGTAAGCAAAAGAGTGAAGAAGATGGTATAACAGAAAATGAAGTTCTTGTAGCTCCTGGTTCACACTCCAAATGTCTACAACAGCCAGGGCTGGAAGAGTCTGAATCTAGGTATTCCATCCTGGTCTACCCACATAAGTAGTGGGGGACCACGTAGTTGGGCCAATACCCACTGCCATCTTGCCACATAAACAAGAAGCTGAATAGGAAGTAGAGCAGCCAAGATTCAAATTGGCATCCCAATATGGGTTGCCAGTGTGACAAACAAGGTACCACAATGCTGTTTTCTACTTAGGTAATTTTGAAGTATGCCTAGTTTATTTACTCAAATTTGTACAAACTAGCTTTTTTCTTTTCTTAAAACATTTATTTATTTGAAAGGCAGAGAGAGATCTTAAGCTTACTTATTCACTCTCCAGACAGTTAAAAAAGTCACCAACTTGAGCCCAGAAGAAGCTGGTAGCTTTAGGTCTCCCATGTAAGTGGTAGGAACCCAATTGCTTGAATTACCACCTCCCTCTGCCTCCCATGGTCTCCCAGGGCAGGAAGCTGGAGTCAGGGACCAGAACGGGGAACTCGACCCAGGCCCTTCCATGCGGGATGGAGACATCTTAACGGCCAGGCTAAAGAGCTGTCTCTACATGGCAGAGTTATACCATTTGTGAAATTCCTTCCAACTGTGCTTGTCTTGGAACTGCTACCATAGGTATCTTCTTAATCACTTCTGAAGATGTAATACACAGCATAATTTTAGAACTGCTCTCTTCTGAGTACCCAGAAAGAAAGGAGACAGAGGTGGGAGTTGAAACAACCAACAGAATAAAATTTAACCAAATTCTCAAGACACAGATTGTATTCATTTCTGTTCATCCCACGTACACTTAATAGTTTCAGTCAATGAATACTTCTTCATGCCACTATTACTTGCACTGGAGATTAAATGGTGATTGGGATGGATGCAGTCCTTGCCTTCATGGAGTTTCCAGTCTAGTAGATGCCAAACTTCTTCCAATTTTTTCTTTCTTTTTTTTTAGCAAATTCCTAGACAATAATGAAATGTCCTCTTACTCTGAGGAAGATTTAAAATCACCACATTACTTCTCTTCCCAGCCTCCTTTGGCAGACCTGAAGCATAAATCTGGATGGTGTGTTTCTAAAACAAGAGAAGCACACTCCCTCCTCAGAAAGTGAGATCCTGCGAACTCTCCCATCAGCCCAAATGAAGGCTGCCACCACTTATTGAGTTGAACACTAATTGACGTAAGTGAAGACGCTGTGGCTTGCCTTGGGAATTGAAAGACTTTATTTATTGAATCAATTATGTTCACAAGGTGACAGTTGATTTTTCTTCTTTTCCTCTCATACCACTTTAGTCTTTTTAAGTAGAGCAGTCAGAAATAGAAAGTGGAGAATGGGGGCAGGGAGAAAGGTCTACAAAGTGAATTTCTTAAAAAAAAAAAAAAAGAAGAAGAAGAAAAAGAAGAGGAAGAAGACTGTAACAGGGAAGCCAAGCCATTATTTAGTTCCTCTCTTTGGCAGGAAACTACCAAATCAAAGTTCAATCGATGCAGTCCTTTCAAATTTCACTCCAAGGCTAAAATCTCCAAGCCCGGGAGATCATGCTGAAGGGGCTGCATTTACACCACTTATCACTCAATGAAGCCTGAAACGCAGAATAAACATTAAGTGGATCCACCTTTACAGGTAAGATTTAAAAGCTTTCTGAACTGACAAATCATAAAAGCAGCTTGATTTTATTATTTCTTCCCCTCAGAGAAATTTCTTCTCTATTCTTAGGCTCTCTTTCTCTATTGGCCAATGTACACGCATGTGAGTTCTCTCCCAGTCTCATTTTCCTAACACCAGAGCTATGTTAGGCCAATGGATCCCCATGAAGGAGTCACAGGATCTTTCAGATCCAAAACACAAATTTCTCTGTGACCGTTACTAAAGACACACAGCTTAAGAGGAGCAGAAACAAGTCGGCAACAAAGGCAGCTACAGCCAGCCAGTGGATTTATTTTGTTATCAAACTGATGCTTCCTTAAGGTGCTGACTCACGTAGGAGGCTCCAAACAGAGTAATATTTAGACCTGACATGTTCTAAGTGATTCTCAAATGGCACAGCCATGCAGAGCTCTTAACAAAAGAGAACTGCTTACGTAATTACTACAATGAGGAAGACTGGTGCTAAAGACTCCCGCCAGAAATAATGCTTCTGGGTCAACATCAGAAACAGTAGCAGCACCTACCGCAAGGAGGGGGCCTGCACTGAGAACGCAGGGTGACACCTAAACCGGGAGGCCTCTACTCCAGGGGTCACTGGTCTCTTGGGA